AATTAGCACATTAAAAGTTAATTACATTTTTTTTTCAACTGTCTTTCATTAACACAGGTTAATAGCTTTTTCATGTTTTTTTCTGATGCTGAAAATGACCAAAAAAGCCAAAATTTAACCCTCTTTTGGAATTCTCTTTCATAAGATAAAAAGTGAGAAAAGTGTGTTGCATTAACTTTATTTCATTGCACTGAAAACTTTGTATTGCAACTTGTAAAACAGGAAAATATGGTTTAACTATGTCTTGCAGGTCAAAGGTCTTTTACTGTTTTGACAAGAGTGCAGCTCCCATGATGCACGAAAAAAAACTAAATCCTTGCTAACTCATACTGACAAGACAACAAGTTGTATGGTTCACTTCTCTATTTACATAATTTCTTCAAATGGACACAGAGGTGCGGTCTATTTCCACAGGGGGTCATCCTTTGAACTAGCTTCTCGCCCTCTGCTTCAGGTTTGCATTTGTTACTTTTAGCGACACACAGATGCCTCAGAAAGCAAAAGGGGAATGCAAAGAGTCTCCAACAGCCACGCTCCTACTGCTGTAAACTAATTTCAATCAATCCTTCCTTTTTGCATCCCAAGCAGCCTCTGCTGGCTGCCACCGCCTGAAGATAACTATTTCACCACCTCTGTCATGCCTAATTAACAACTCAGATGTACAATTCAGAAATTTCGCAATTAACCTACTAAAATATTGTTGGAGGATGCTAATTGTTATGCCAGTTGCCATAAAGGCTCATTTGCATAACGTATGTGCAAAAAACAATTATGAGCTGTTGATCGCGCAGGAGCCCGCAGAAAATGCTCGGAGCGATGGAGGGGGAGCGAGGGAGACGTTTGCAAGATGGGTGCTCGTGTGTGCAGATGGAGGGACAGCACTGAATCATCGTACAAAAAAAAAATAAAAACAGATTTGAGGAGCCGTGTGTGCAGATACCAGGCAGCACCGGTGCAGAGGCATCTATCTCCACAGCACAAAAGCATTTTCCCTCTCCAAATGAAACTGATATGTATACTCTTTTTTTTTTTCCCCTTTCCTCTTTGTCTGGCTCTCCTTCTTTTCATCTTTGCTGATGGGGAAATGGAGGGTATTTGGGAGCTACTTAGATAATAGCCACATCTTCCCCGGTCCCCCTCGTGCTTTAGAGGAGGAAGCACTAGTGGCCCTGCCATTGAGCCAGTCAGGAGCCCAGCTGTGCGCGAGCTATTCGGCACAACACTATCTAGTCACTGCAGCCGCATCACTGGGGCTCTCTGAGACAAAAAGCAGCCAAAGTCAATTGTTTCTCCTGCTGAATAGCTTTCTGTTCTCTGTCATGCATTTACTGGACCTTTTTCAGCATGAAAAAAAATCTCATACGGTAGAAAAATACAGTAAGATTAAATATATTTTTGTCCCCTGGCTTGTAAGAAGGATTTTCTTATTTTAGCTGCAGCTGCTAAAATAATAATAATAATAATAATAATAATAATAATAATAATAATATTTGTAATAATAATAATAACCCAATTGGAATGAGAGGGGTCATTAACTTTGTCAGGAAACATTGAAATTAATGCTCCCTGTAGATTTCAGAAATGCTTACCTCCTCAGCCCTAACTCTATTTACTCCAGGTAATGCTTTTAGTCAGCCTTGCATGTGGTTAATTACAGGCTCATCCTGAACTGTATTTAATTAACACAGTCTTTCCTAGCTGAACATTACATATGTCGTAGACAAACCGATAAACATACATGAAAGCGTGTTTAGCGGTTTTCAGAAGCCAAATCAAACATGTGCAACAAAACGCCGACATTGGCTCGAACTGCGAGTGTAGTCCCTCCCTAATCCACTGCTATAAACACTGGGTCGGAGCATTTATCAGCCTGAATCTGCCACACTCTCTCTCTCTCTCTCTCCCTCCCCTACCTCTCCAGACCCCCTGTTTCTGAACCTGATGAGTCAAAGGTCAGGAAAACAACAAGTCAATACGCAGCCAAAAGAAGCTCCATGCAGCTGAGAGAGCTGTGGAGAGGGCTAAGCCTCTCTGTGGCACTCCGTGATTTAGCCTGTAATAGTTTTCTGTAATCTCTTTCTATTGATTAAACCTCACATCAAAGAGGAGTCTTGCTACAGAACCTCTCTTTTCCTGGTCAGAAATACCATATGGAGGTAATCTTTCACCTTTGTTATTCTTGCCGCTCCCGCTGCTGCTGCTGCTGTGAGCCTCTCTTCCAAGCATGAGAGCAAGACAAGGGAGTAGCCAGCAGGATAAAACAAACCCCAGTACAGAGGAATAACTGCAAAACTCATCTGAATCGCAGGCAATTTTCACTCAATGCATTCATTGTCCTCTCATGCAGCCTACAGGGAAAAAGGTACAACATGAATGTACCCTTTGTCCTGAAATAGCTAGAAACATGGGGGAATAAAACATTTTAATTGCCATTCTTTATGTATGTACAAAAGAAAAAACATCACATACTGAAGGACAAAGAACTCCACTTGCCAACCAAATCTCACATTTAGCTTATCTAAATGTAAAACCAAGAAAATTTGAGGGAAAAATCCCTCCTGCTAAAAACACTCAATTTAGTGACAGGCAAATGACTTCATGCTGCCACTTAATCTCATTTCTTGCATAATGCTCTCTAATTAGCATATCAAAGTGAATTAATACTTCTAGGGCATTAGCAATGCAGAAATACGCTGCAGCTCTACAATAACAGTTAGAAGAGTGCCACAAACTTCTAAACACCCTGAAAAGTCTTCAAAATATCTTCCTATTACTAGAAAAGGCCCTCCTTTACCTCTCCTCAGCAGAAAAACGAAGAATATCAAGAGTAAGATCGCCACTTTGATTTCATCTCGCCACTGATGACAAAATAATACTTCTAAACACTTGTGAAGCTTTGAAGCTGAAACCCGGATTCGCTATTCATCTGCACGCCGGACAATAAGTCTGGATAACATGATACATGCGAGCAGTAATTACACTGATGATTCTTGGACCGCTTTCAAATTTATTATTAAAAGTCATTTACAGCCAACGGTGGATCCCATGGCTAAAAGGCAGCGCCCCCCCCTGTGCCATCTGAACGGACATGAAAGGGCCAAGGAAGCCCTGTGAACGATGCTACAGCAGCCAGTGAAAGGCTCACTGTGTGCTGGAAAAAACAGGCCGGTCAACAAGGCCACCAGACCAGCTGAGCTCTGTCAATGGCTAAGAGGGGGAGGCTGTGACTCTAAACCACAGGTTAACCATGCACACACACACACATACACACGCACACACACGCTTGTTCTCCCTCTCCCCCTCCGTCTCATCCCTCCCTTTCTCACACACACACTTATTCCACAGCGCACGTGCACTCTTTCACACACGTACGGATATTTATTTAAAATGTTTGTCACTCTCATTTACTTTTTCATGCTTCTCTGAGTGGCTTATTCACACTGGAGAGCTCAGTTCGCAGCACAAACATGCAAGTGTCGAGAATCTAACTGGTAAAACATCTGATTAAAGTAACTTGCAGTGTAACCCTGACACTGGAGCAGCATTTTAATATGACTTAAATTAAAATCTAGCAAATAATTTTTTCCTCTGTGGTCTACGTTCCACAGATGCAGCAGTGCTCCTGAGCTGGAAAACACTTTCACAACAAATCAGTGACTGCACACAAAATAAGAGCTGGCATCGTGTGTGATGTGTGATCTGCATTCTTTCTTGCTCTATCTCTTTCATTGTCTGAACTCAACAGGCACACACAAACACACACACACACACAGTAGAGCACCTCGGCTAGACTGTGGACCCTCTGCATGCCCCTGTGGACGCCACCTGTGTTGGGGAAGTTCATAAACTTTTATGATCTCTCCCGAGCCAATTTCCTCATAAACTGCACAAAGGTCACAAATCTGACAAGGCATCAGGTTCGCTAAATTACAGCAAAACCCACAGCGTCGTTTTCTTTGTATTCTTATTTTTTCTCTGACTCAGAAATATACACACTACTTGGATAATAAAGTAAAGGGTGAGTAGTTTGAATATTTGGAGCATCTGTTCATTTTCTTTCTAGTTTCAAGAACAGACACGCACATAAATACAAGGCATAATAAACATGGCTGTAAAAAGCCCATGTAACTAAAAATCAATTCATTTAAGAATTTAAAGGGGTGCAGTTTATTAACCGTCCTATAAACACCGTGGGAGGAGAGGAGAAACAGCAATCTGTCTGTGCAAAGGTCACTTTTTTAAAATGCACTGTAGCAAAGTTTGAGCTATAAGAAAAGTTATAAGACACGAAAACATCAGCTATAATTTCGGCTGTGTCTCGTGTGTGTGTGTGTGTGTGTGTATGTGCGCACACACACTGAAAGTTTTCGACCATGGTCATTTATAAATTGATGCTTATAAAGAGCAACTGTTCAATATGCAACAGAAATATTTTTCTCTTTTTTTTTTCAAATTTCTTTTTTCAATAATTTTCCACCAGCTGGTTCTATCATCTACCCTGTCCATATTTGCAGGAAAGGAGTGTGCATGCAATTGCACTACAGTTACTGACTGAGAGTGCAGTTGCCTTAATATGTTGAAAACGTAGCAATTGTTGTCAGGTTATAAAGCATGAATTCATTGTGATCTCAGCTATGTAGAGCATATGCTACGGGATTTCCCCATCCTGTTCAGTGCCAGGGTAGTGAGGGTGAGAGCTGGAGTGCACTTTCTATTTAAATCCAAACAACCAGTGCTGGAAAAAGATGCTCCTGCACAAACAAGAGCATCTTCAGTGAAACAAAAAAACACACATCTACCTCTGACTGTTTCTGTGTGGCACAATGACATATTTAAAAAAAGTGATTGATTCATTTGGGCAGAGGTCCCCTGTTACCTGGATGCAGGCTGCCATCGGGTCAGCGGGAGGTAAAAAAAATATCTGTGTGCTATTGCATTGAGGCTCCAGTATTATTTCCCCTTGAGTTCATATTCTAATATTTTTTACACAAAGATCTTACCTGTCTTTTCTTTGATTTCACAGAGAACGCTGAAGAGTGCTGGTTTCATTCTGTGACAGTTCAGCCCATGTTTCCTGTTTCAGTATAAGACAAGAAATAATACTGAAATAAATTCACTGATAAATCACATGTTAGATATTAGCAAGTAAATAAATTATTTTATTTAAACATAGTAGTTACCACTATGTCATGCCTTGCAATGTCTCAACCCACACATCTCTTAAAAGTTTGGCATTTTTACAGTAGTTTTTACAGCAGTATTAGCTCAAAGTAAAAAGAAAAGTATGTGTTAATTGCTTTAGACTAATATAATGACCCATTATAAATATAATGCCCAATAACAGCTAATTTAAATATAATGAGCCATCTAACATGAATTTCATTTTCAGAAATATGAGCGTTTACTGGAGGATGTGTGCACTCCAACTTTTTGAACAAGCTCATTCAGGTTCACGCTGGCACACAGGCAGTTTAAATAAAACGCTGCTGTTCCCTCAGTCACAACTTTCTCATGTGGTAAAGCTTTGCGAGGCAGTAAATACACCTTAGTGTGAGATTATCATTAAAGCCACTCCAGCCTATTGTTATGCATGGGGGAGTTAAGTTAAGCGGGCCACATCTCAATAATGATGCGTTGAGCGTTTTTTGGGGGGGGGCGAAGTTAATAAAACATATAAATCAACCAACTTTGCTTGCGCCTCGTCCAGACTCTGATCAGTTATGGTCATTATTTGATGGAGAATGTCACCAATGTCTTGTTTTCTTCCGTCCCCGTCTGTCCCATCGTGTCCATGTGGAGGCGGCAGTGCCATGCCTCCTTGTACCGAGTGGCCGGCCAGACTGACACCGCCGATCGACTGCATGATCCGGGCTTGATCGTCCATAGTAGCCGCTAAAGAGTCTGTGCACTGAGCCACACAAATTGAAAAACTCATATACGAAATCGGCTACAACATGTGCCGGAGACAAGGGGGGATGCACGGGTGTGTGATTCTTCACCGACACAGAACACACACGTTTCTTTTTTTTTTAAAAAGAAAAAAATGCCTCGCAGTGATGTTTTTAGCGTAAATCTTGTGTCCAAGTTCTCGCTGTCCTCTCGCTTTTTTACGCGCGGTCCAAAGTGCCAAAACGCGTGACTGTGTTTGTAGAAAAATGCATAAATCTTTTTTTTTTCTTCTTCTTCTTAACACTTCTCGGTCAAAATTGACGGTCCATCGTATCCCGCTCCAATCCTCATGCCAATCTGTCTTTTCTCTGGGATTTGACGGGTGGTGGAGACAGAAACGCTCCTTGGTGATCTCTCATTTATTAGCGCTCTTCATGGGATTCCCGGCGCATTTCCTCTCCAAAAAAAAAAAAATGTCCAAATCCTCCCCGCGAAGCACCGGCAACAAAAATATCCAATGTGGAAACGTGTAAACAAATAAGAAATCTTGCAAGTGTTGCCAACTATAAATGTGCACAAATGATTCCCGCGACAACTGACAGCATTAAAAAAACACACACACAATCTGCGGCTTAAGGTGTCCAAATGTGACTATAAAAAAATATGAAATGTACAAAAAAAAAAAAAAAGTTGGGAGATTTTCTGTTTAGAAAAAAAAAAGCAACCACGAGCAGAAATTAATGAGGACACAGCGCTGTATGAAGGCGATGCGCAAAAAATATCTTGCCCTGCTGAAATTTATGAGCTCCAGCCTCTGCCTGTGTGTGTTTTATGTTGTTTGATGGCAGCGGTAGTGAGCGATTGACAGTGTGCCAATGCCACTCACTCAGTGCAGACGTGTCAGAGCAGGGAACAGGGGTAGAGAGAGAAAAAATAAAAAATACAAAATACGAAATGAAAATGCACGCTCCGCCCTGCAGAGGAGGGGTCTATATTCTTGTCACTTCTCGCCTGAACACCGAAAAACAAAATGTTAAGAGCTAGTACTTAGGATGGTGATTATAATGATGAAAGCACGGCAGAGTCCCCTCTCTCTCTTGCAGCGGCGGCAGCAGGGTATCCTCGTTTCCTCACGCGTGCACGTGCAGCTATGTGCATATTCTCTACCAATAATAAAGATTTAGTCCTGCAACAACACAGGCAAATACATAATGAGAGTTTTTATACAGTTTGATGTAGAACTGCATAGTCCCTTGTAAGCCTTGGTTCAAGCCAGGCAAGCAGTAGACATGTTTATATTATTGGAAAGTAAAGCTCCTCGACCAATCCCGGGCCAGAGTGACGAAGACTGACGATCCGTGTGTCCTATTACTGGCAGATGCATGATGCTGAGAGCCCACCCACTCCATCCCTCCATCTTCACACTGCTTGTACAAAAGGATGGCAACTTCTGATTGGCCGTTGCTACGAGTGACATCCATTGCACAAGCAGGCGGCGCTGCTCGGTGCTCCTCCGCAGTTGCTATGGCAGCAGACAAGTTGTTGAGCTGGATGCAAGGCAGCAAATATACTGTGCACCTCCACAATAAGCATCTAGATCACGGATTCATGAAGAAAAAGAGACAAAAACAGTGTTTTGTCGTTATGTTGTTTGGCCATTTGGCGATAACCCTGCAGGAATAAAGAGTGTGGAGTTTGATTTGGGATTTTTACGGTAAGACAGCACACTGTTTCAGCTGGCTTGTGCAACACAAGGCCTTGATGCTGAACTTTTGATATACAATGTTTTTTTTTTACATGGGTTTGATGATTGATGACCATGAAATAAAGTTAAAAAGTCAACATAAACAGTATTTAAGTACAATTCTGCTGCTTCATGTACAGCACACAGAAGCAAAATAACCACTGCACATGTAGTTTCTCCCAAAACTAGTCATCAGATAATCAATAAATGTATTCAACTGCGGCTTCTAAGTAGTTTGGAGAAGAATTATCTCTGGAAAATCTAACTGTCTGCAACACTTTTTTGTTTTTAATTCCCTTTGAACGCTGACAGACTCCTGTCCTGACAATCTTTAAGGAGGAAGCTGATCAGTGTTTTTTGTCACCAAAAGCGGTGAACACTTTAGTCTTTCAGTGAAAATCCTAAAAAGAAAACTCTCCATGTTTTGTGGTTGGTGATGTTTTATTCAGCCTGATGATTTCTGTTGTGCATAAAATGTTTTAAACTCACAATAAGGATATGATTTTAAAGGCACTATGAAGCAGTTTTAGTGATCAGTGCTTACGTATTTTCTGTCACTATCAAAAATACCAACAAACAGGCACACCATCATTGGGGTTTGGGCATCACTGGCAGCCTGTAACTGTCTCTGGGCTGTATTTTACAATGGATGCCCTTGGCTCAGATTTGGCTTGGAATCTGCTCGACTGCTTTACAGGAAACAGAAAGAAGGAAAAACACGAACAGAGCGGGAACATTTCACAGACATTTCGACAAAACCTCTGACACTGAAGCTCTTCCAAGGTATACAGTGATAGTATTTAGTTAAACCATATGAGACCATAACTCACTCAGTAAAAAACAGATGGACATACTCCACAATTATGAGAAATCTTATTGACTGAGATACAATTTTTATTATTTTTTCATACAGTTAGGTGTATGCCCATTACAATATTGTCTTGATAATAGTCAGTGATCATCTGAAATACTGTATGTTCTTATTGGTCAGTGCAAAGTAGTAGATATAGACTGTGATTCATCTTCATGAGTCAGAACTGAGTGTCTGGATTCATCTTCAGAAATGTAAGCAACTTTTACCAAAAGAAGTTTAATTGAAGTCACGATACAGTGAGTCATTACTTCAAATCACTGTTTTCATTGTCTTACTAGAAAAAGAAAAAGAACATCACCCTGCTTTCGCCTGTCTGGTTTTCAATTTGCAGTCCAGGAACTAGATGAGGACGAGTCAAAGATGTTCAAAATTAAATGAGGAATTGTAGTACATTTAATTTTATATAGGGCACAATCAAAATAAATGAATATATGTAGTTTTATTAATAAAAATCTCAGCATGATGTATTATGATTAAGGTGTACCAATTTGTCATTAGAAGGCAACTTGAGGACATCACTGACGTTGCAATATCTTAAAGTTTACATGACTGTATGTAGAATCTAAAGTTAGAAATCTTCATATCACAAGATTTCAACACGTGAATTAAAATACAGATTGTCTTTAGCGGCCTGTGTGGTTCTGCTTGTTCATTTGACCTTGAGGAGCAACACACTCTTGAGTTTAGTGACTGGGAGTCCCAGGACTACTGCATTTATCATTGAAATACTGAGCTGTCAAGTCACACTACATACCTGTCAGGAAGGGCTCAAAGGTACAGCTCCGGCTCCTCTCCTCTGTTGCAGTGCATGATTCTTCATTGCATTGCATAGCAGGGCCCATTCAACGTTGTTTTCAGCCATATGTCAACATAATTCATTTCCGTATGTGACAGCTCCTTACAGTGAGACACTGTGGCGCTACTAGTTCACAAAACCTTGTTTACATAACCAAGAGGCTGTGCTATCCACTGTTTTCTGCACACTTGGTTTCTAAAATCAAATTGCTGCACAAATGTCCTGAAAATGCTGCAGGTCAGTTTATTTGAGGAGAAATAAATTACATGTAACTTGACAAGTTGTTTCCACATGCACTGTACGTTAGGTTAAATAAAATGACACGAGCTAAGCGAGGCGTAGGAATTAGCACCTACGAGTGTAGAGACAACACTTTGTCATCATGCTTCTCATTGTGACATCTGAAAAGACCCACAGGTGCTGTAGAAAGTGACTGTGTTGTCATATTTCATTTAGGCATCCTTCTGCAAAGCTGTAATTGCCTAATTAGCTTGTTAATTAGGAGATTAGCATTTACTGATAGAGTGGCTTGCTCTGTTGTGATGAGAGTAATACAGATTAAGTGAGAAGTTATGGGTGCATGATTTCACAATTTCGCTGTCCACAAAGAGGTCACAAATCATTAAAAGATTTGTGAAATCGCTGCGTGTTTTACATCTGAAGATGGTGCTCGTCTTTTCTCTGAGCATCCCTCTATCAGGAGTGGCGCTGAAGACGGTGAAAGAATGCTGGAGCCCGGTGAAGGCAGCCTGTCACACAGCAGCAACGTAGCTCCTGGTTTGAGTGTCGCCTGTGCGATCCCCTGTTGCTCGGGGAGATTGGAGGAAATGACCGAGCAGACGGTGCCAGAGACATTACTAACCCAATTATGAACAGTCTTTCATTTGGTTTGGATACTTTATTCTTATTTATTTCCTGGTATTTGTCGCTGGCATGCATGCACTTTGTCTTCATTACAGTTGCACATGTGAAACCAGAGACAGGTAGCATGAATATTTGTTGAATCTGCTCCTAGGTTTCGTGTCGTAAACTCATATCCAAGGAATGGTGCCTTCCGATATGTGTTTCCGACTAGGTCTATAACTAAGGTTTATTTTCATTATCAATGAATCTGCCAATTGTTTTCTTGATTAACTGATTTATTGTTTGGTCTATAAAATAGTGAAAAATGTCCATCCCAGTTTCTCAGAGTCCAAGGTGATGTCTTTAAATGTCAACGATATTCACTTTCATATGATATACAACAGAGAAAAGCGGGAAATCTGCATATTTAAGAGGTTGAAAACAGCATTTAACAGAATAAAAAATTACAAATGAACAATTCATCGATTCTCAAAATACTTGCCAGTTATTTTTATATCCATCAACTAATCGATAAGTAGACTAGCCGTTGCAGCTATATTTCAAAACTGATCAAAACATCTCACATGTTGTGCAGCAAAAGTACCTTTAAAATAGTTCTTAAGTACAGTAAATATAAACACACAGCGTTACATCCCACCACAGATTGCAAGAGTGTGCTTGAAAGGTAGATAACTATGTAGGAAATATTGCATCTGCTAATGAGTGTTGTTAACTCCCCCTGCAGTTATTAAATCATTTCAAGTGTTAGTGTGGGAGGTAAACTAATAAACTGTTAAGAATGTTAAATGCACAATTAGAGAGTTGATACATCTCCAACATGTTTGTGGGACAGGAGTGAATTTAGCCGGTGACTTTGTAGTTTCTTTTTGGTTTCTTTGGAAAAAAATGGGGGTAATAAACATCCAAAAGGAGAAGTCACTAAACTACTACTATCTCAAAACACCACACCTACTGTAACCTTGGTTACTCCAACCCAGTGTACACTTCAGCATGTTTATTACTGCACAAATGTAAGGCAGGATGTCCCTTAAAAAGTCAACCTTTGGACAGAGTTTTAATCCCAAGAGTGAAAAGTATCACATCGAAGGAATCTGTTTCTTTAGGAAGTCAAGACAGATGTGAGAGATCAGGAGCAGGCAGTAATCAGAGGGGGAAGGTGAGAGGTACACAGCTATACTGCTCACCACGATCAATCATACTATACTTGTCCTCCCTCGACTCGCTCGCTGTTACTGTCTCCACTGAATGCACTTCTCTCTTTGCTTAAAATTATTACACAGGCCATAAACCCAGAGAGGTGAGTGTCCTGCTAATGTGGGTACATGTAGTGGTTGCAGTAACCTTTAAGATTGGCTAGTGAGTGGTGGTAGCTCAGACACGGGCCATATATTGTGGTCAATACAAGAGACACGGATTGACTGGTGGAGGCATTTTAAGGCATTACATTTTAATTGTCATCCATGCTGCAGACCAAATTGATTCTGGAAGCAAGGAATAAAAGCAGAACTTGATTGCAGTGCTTTCATTACAAAACTTACATGACAGATTTTTTTAAAGAGTTTTTATGTGACAAAAAGTTGGAGGAAAAAGAGGAAAGGGACGTCTGGACTGCTCTGCTTGCTACTGAGACAATGATGCAGATCAGCTGGTAGAAAATGGACCAATAGATGTAAAAATCTGCAGATAAAACTGAAGATTTTTATACAAACCACACATATCAAGCAGTGTTCAATTCAATCGTTTAAGTTTAATTTCTTTGAGCATAAGCTGCTTTATTTTTTGAAGGCAAAATTTAAATCTGAGCTTAAC